CGTAAGAACAACTTTTTAAGAAACCCACATTCACCTTTTAATAACCACTGATGAGGTGCTGAATGAAGAATTAGTATTTGTATCAAGTTGTTCATCTTCTTCATTCTCCATCTGGGGATTTCTGTCTGGTCTCATCACACCCACGCACGCACCAGAACTGATTTATTAGGGACTCTCGGGCCTGGGGGTGAGTTGTGCTTATAAGACGTTTTGTGGCTTACCCAGGAAAGCATGAGCGTTCACAGGAAATGTAGGCATCCTTAGAGATGATGGCCGTGCTTTCAAAGTCTCGGAGGGAAACATGGAGGCGGCCCGTGATTTCCATCACTGGCTGACGACAGGAACTTTTGTAGACATCAGTGTTTCTGGAAACAAATGCCTGGAGTGGAATCACTGGTTAGTACGAGTTCTCGGTAGGCGGAGTGGCACACTACCAGGCCTCCCCCGGGTAGAAAAGAATGTCTTAGTTGGGAATTGAATCCCACCCAGGAGCCAGGTATTCACTTGTTAGACATCACCTGTGCATGGTGGCGATGAAGGCCCGGGAGAGGTGGAAGCTGGGAAGCCGGTAGCAGCAGCAGTGGCCCAGCTGGATGGGAGCCGTGTGGGCGAACCTAGTCACGTGGCTGGAGATTGTCGAGCCCGCTGCCTCCAGGATCTGTGAACCTGAAATGGACCTCTGCTACTTTCCCCCGTGGGCGAGGACCTAAGAAACTTCTCCCATGAATGGGGCAGGAGAGTGTGGTGGTTAAAAGCACCAGCCCTTCTGCCAGCACTGTAGCTTGCTGTGTATAATGTGCACCCACATTTTTATACATGGGATTATTATACCCATGGTATACATGGCAAAGTTCAGTCTGGATTCCAATCATTTCAATGCTTGCTAGAACACTTATTGGCTGTGTGACTGTAGGCAAGTTACTTAACCTTTCTGAGCCTCAGTTTTCTTAGTAGTAATCTGGGTATAATCCTAGTACCAACTTCAAAAGGTTGCTATGGTTACTAGATGAGAGGACATATGCAAAGTGCTTGGTACATAGTCGGCAGTCAACAAATGATGGCTGTTTGTACATCAGTATTTTTTATGTTATCATTGCTAAATTAAATCAGAGGAATATATTGGGGGAAAAAACATGGGCTTTGGACCTGGACCAACCAGGGTGTAAATTCTGGTCTCACGTGGGCTGTCTGCTTCCCTGAGCCTCAGTTTCCTCATTTGTTAAAAGGGGATAGGATTGTGGCAAAGGTCAATGAAAAACATGCATGAATAGGGTATACTACAATGGCTGGCAAAGAGTAAAAGCCAGCAAATAACGCCATCATTCCACCCATTATCATTATCATCATCACCGCTAATGCGTTAGAAGCGATGGAGGGCTGGCAGCCTCATCATTCACAGAATTTCTACTGGGTGTCAAGTTCTTTCTTCTGGGAAGACAAGGGCAGCATCAGCCTCCCTGCCTCCCAGCCTTGTTGGTTCCCCATTTCCTTCGGTCCCTGTGGCTGGTCGGCGGAGGTGTCTGCATGCGCAGAGGTGCACTGTTCACAAGCTCCTGCACTGCAGCCGCCTGGCCTCCTCCTGCCCACCCTCTGTGATCACCCAGGATGGGCCGGGTCTTTCCCACCCACTGAGGACTGGATGCTTTTGAATGCGTTTCCCCAGACATCTTTGTTTTGTTTTGTGTATTCTTCCTAGCGGAACCTCATTTTTGTGTTGGCAGCCCATTTTACGATTCCTTAGGAAAAAAATAGATATGTCAGCTGTTTTTCATTTCCGGGCTTGTCTGCCACCTCATTAAAGTCTTGTGTGTCCCATGTCTAAGTTCATTTATGGAGTGGAGGGATGCATTAAGTAACGACGGGCCCAGTTCCAAGTCCCAGATCGTTTCCTAGGTGGCTGCTACTTAATGTACCCATGGTTTGGCCTGACGCCTTTGAACTGGGGAGGTGTGGGTTTGGCGCCGTCGGGCAGGGAGTGGGACTAGAGGAAAAAGCTGGTTCTTCTCCAGCTCCATCACCGCTGCCCTGCTGCCAACAGTGCCCAGCGCCTTCCAGAGTCAGGCATTTGTCAGGGGCTGGGAACACTGGGGGGTGAGGTCCGGGGACAACAGATGCTTAGAAAGACAGACAATGCAAGATGGCTGCCTGAGTCAGGGCTGGTTTTCTTCTCTTTTTTCTTTGGTCTCAGCAGCCTTAAGCACCGCCCCCCATATCCAGTTGGTGTGTCATTAGGTGAAGTAACCAGCAGATAGGCTCTATCACTTGTACGGCCCTGTGCAAAATGAAAATGTGACTGCTTTCCATGGGCCTGTGAATGGGTGACTCCCCCCGAGAGACTGCCTCCCCAACAGTTTGGGTCCATAGTTCAGGGAGTCCAGATTCCCCCACTGAGTCACCAGCACATGCGTCAGAGAGCTCCCTGTCTAGGTTGGGGAGGGCTGCACTGACCCTAACTCTCCCCACACCAGTGTCCCCCACCACATGACCCTGTCATTGCCTCAGGGGTAGGATGACAGTGATGGGGAGACCCTGCTGGGCCAGGCCCTAGGAGGTGGGGAGCAGGTGCCTAAAAATCCCTACTGGGGAGGTTGTAGGAGGCAGGTCCATGAGTGAGCTGAGGCCCCAAGCCCCCGGTGCATGCTCCATCGCCCCATCAGACTTCACTTACAAAACACGAAGTCGAAGGTAAACATGTTAAGGAGTGTAGCTGGAACTGCAGAACATTAAATCCCAAGTGCGGGGCCCTTAGGAGTGCAGGGCCCATTGGGCATAGGGGCCTGGTGACTGCAGATTCCCAGGAGAGATTGTTGGCTGTGTGAGACCAGGCAGGCAGGAGGGAGCATGCGGGCTGGGGTCGGGCTCCACAGGGTAGCCTGCAGGGCTGTGGCTAAGCTGACCTACAAGGTCCTTCCCTAACAGCTTGTGCTCTATCCACAAGAGATAGGGCCCCTATTTACTCCACTGTGAAACAAACCAACTACAAAGTCCCAGGAGTCTAAGCATTTGCAAGATGCTTTTGAAAGGTGCTTTAGCTTGCTGGGAAATGGGTCCCCTCAAATATCATCAAAATCATGCGTGACCGCTGGATTTTTAACTACAGCACTGGGGAGAGGGAAGGAAGACTTAGATGATCTTTAAGGCTCCTTGAACCCCAAGTTTTTGTTACTCTTATTTCGGGCTAAGCTACAGAATTTCCATGCTGTGTGTCATGAGAATTTTTGAAAGAATGTTTTCTTTTCCATATACACAAATACCTTCTTTTCCTTGCGGGAAGGTGGGGAGAAACGCTTTTTTTTCTCAAATGTCTTCCTGAAGGGGAAGAACTAGAAAGAAAGGAAGGAGTACCTCGGCTATTTTAAAAATGTGATTCTTTAAGGTGTACAATGTGATTTTCATCAGATGAAGTAAATGTCAACAGATTTAAGGATACTCTACCACTCAGTCTTGATCTGGATAGTCTAAACTCGGTGCTGTGGTGTTTTCTGACCCAGAAACTGTGGGAATTCATTTGCTTGGCTGGAAGGTAGAGAACACGGTCAGAGTTTTACCTTGATCACCTCTCCGTTCTGTTGTCCTTTCGGGAGATCACTTTGGTTTAGGGTTTTGTCTGCCATCTTGAAACTAAGTGGTGACCAGTTTTTAAAATTAGGCCATGTCTTGTGAATTTTAGTAGGGCCTATGACATTCTGTTTATGTGTGTTAGTCACAAAGGTGACAGTGCCTGTGGTAGAACATTTTGATATTTTTTTTCTAGTTCTGTTTAATACACACTCTCTTTACTTTCCACTCCTCCTGGGAAGATAGTTGGGCTATGAGAACAACTATCATCATCACTCTTTACCACCGGTTACTAAGGACATAAAATACTCTGTGTGTGTCTGTTTGTAGTGATTGATTCTTATAAGAACTTTATGATATTGCTGGTATGATGCCATTTTACCGATGAGGAACTCAGGACTCAGGGAAATGAAGTCTAAGATCACACAGCTAGAATGTGGCCGAGCTGGGACTCGAACCCCTGCCTGATGCAGATTTCTTTGCCCTCTGCTGTTTCATGCCCTCACTATAACAGGGCTTTAGGGTTTTACAAAACAGGATACTAAGAAATGCATTAAGTTTTGTTGTAGTATACACGCCACCTTGGGCCTCCCCACCCCAGAAGGGGAGGCACCAGCCTGCTGTTGCTCTCCGAGCTTCTGTGACATGTGGAGAGGATGTTCTGTGTCTCACGGGACCAGCTGGAGCCTTTGGAGGGAAGGAAGGGGTCTGGGTGGGGAGCCTTGCCAAAAGGCAGCAAAGCAGACTGGAAAGAGCCCAGCTTCTGGAGCTAGGAAGATCAGCTCAGGCTCCTGTGGGCCAGTCTTTACTGCGAGCACCAGGGAAATAAGGGTAAAGGCAACAACCTGATAGGATTATCGGGAGGGTTGGATGTAAATGAGATGAAGGATATGAACCCTCGGGTATACACAGGATGTGTCACTGTTGTTAGTTGCAATTGCAACGCGATTAAATCTTACCCTCTTTCTACAGCTTTCCCGTGCACACACCCAGTGGCGGATGCACACTCTGCTGCTTACGATTTTGCCTACAGTCTCTTTCATGCCAGCATGAGATACCCTAAATTTATCCTTTAAAAATCTATTGTTTCTGCATAATTGTCTCACTGTCCTTTTTCTGAGTTTAGATTAAGAAATTGAAGGGCATTGGGTGTCCACGTCCATCTGTAGAATTCAGCCAAGCTTGCGGCATGCCTCTTCCGTGGCTGAGGGGGTGGGGGTGGAGGTTGGGTTCGGCTCTTGTCTCACTCCTTTGCTATGGGATGTCTCCCTGTCTTCTCCTGAAGCCTTGGCCTTCCAAGGGGACAAACGGCTTCTGAAACTTGGAGGCGTGATGAGCTCACAAGTGCCCAGAACGCTGTTTCCCTCGCCCATTGGAAGTGGAAGAGGGTTGTCACGCTGCACAGTAGCTCAACTCTTGTGTTCTTTGTTCTCTTTTGGCAGAACCAGCTTCTTGCAAAAGGACTGTTGTTTGTGGAGGAGAAGATTAAGCTGTGCGAAGGCAAGTACAAGGCTGCCCTCGTAGAGCGGGGTCCCCGTGACTCAGCCTTTGATGTTTGGACAGCTGAAGTGCTTCTGTTCAAAAGTGACAGGCTGCGAGAGCGTGATTCACCCCAGCCGGCGCTTCCCCAGCTAGGCGGCAGCATTTCCATTTGAGTCAGCCACTTGGGGCGATGCAAGCTCGAACTGTGTTTTGAAACACGAAGTGGACTGGGGGAAGTCTCTTTGGAGACCCTGTTTGGATGGGGGTTTTGTAACAATGTGTGCCGGTGGTCTCCGTGGATGGGGTGACCTACACTGTAGACCCTGTCATGCTGCTCTGTCTCGTCTGATCCAGGCTCTTTCCTGTCGGCCTCTGTCGTATTCCTTGTGGTCACACGTGACCGGAGGCCTGTCCGTTTGGGAAACATTAGCAGACACCCACTTACGGGGGTACGATTTGATAGGCAAAGGAAATTTTTCCGGCTTTAAATGGTTTTTAGAGCCCAGCTGACAGGGCAGATGGAATTGGAAGATGTGTCCAAAGGCAAGAATCCACCAACTCCGTGACGCCACCGGGGACCACCGTCAGCTCCTGCCTCTGTGGGTCCTGATCTTTGCTGCCACCTGCTTTTTGGGTGGCTTCCGGCAAGTTTCTCATTTCTCTGAGCTTTGGTTTTGATTTTCTTTAAAATGATAAAATTCGGGTAGAGATTGCAGGCAGGATAAAGTGTATGACCAGTGTAGCACCATTTCCAGCACATAGTGGGTACACAGACTGCTTCCTTCTTTTTTTTTCCCCCCCACTACAGCCTAAAGACCTTTACCTTACTTCTAGACCCAGACATTTCAGGCATTAGATCAGCCCCTTTCTCCCCTCATTCTCTGGGAAAGAGACTGGTGTGCAGTGAAGTGTTCGCTAGAAAGACAAAGCGGGAAGAAAATGAGCCGACACTAGACAGTGAGTGTCTGGGAGTGGTAGGTGCTCACTAAACCTTTGGAAGGATAGAGATTAGAAATGTACCTCTCCGTATGCAAGTTGACTGAACCTGTATGAATCTATCTAGGCTAAGACTCTTCACCCTTAAAAATGCCCGCTAACCCAAGACCTTATTCCTAAGTGACTTGCTTTGACAAGACCTTAGTGGGCCTTCCACACTTCGGTGGTGGTCTAGTTCCCATGTGTAGAAGGTGGCCGCCTCGGGAAGAGGGACAAGAAGCATGGTCATGGCCACAATCTTTGTCTGTAAGTCACTTGGGGAGTTATTACATGCTTGTGTAAATACGGAAAAATACCAGCTTTATGACAAAGATACTGAGCAAAACCAGAGATCTGAGAGCCCTTCAAAAGGAAAGTTGGCTGTCTCTCGCCCCAGCGACACTCAGCAGACACATTCAGAGTGAAACCTCAAAAATGGAGCTGGATGGGTACACAGAGGTCACCCAGGGTTCTGTGTCTCCGCGCCAGAGTGGCCAGAGAGCACTGGGCCGGGGCGTGCTCTCTGGGGCGCTCAGTCCCGGGGTCCGGGTTTCAGGGTCCTTTCTGCACAGTGAAGGGGCGGGAAGGGAACCTTGCAGGGTTTTTCATATCTTCAGCCCGAACGTCTCTACTTTATTCTGTGTATTACGACTCCAGGAAAGGTTTTGTTTGGATAACAAGATTCTCTTGCTATAAGGTATAGTTTGGAAATGACTGATAGGATCCATCCTGTTGCTGAATGAATTTCACTGGTTGCTTGTATCTGCACACCCGGGTTTCCAGCTGCGGGAGGGGCAGAGGCAGCTCCCACCCGTGTGTGGCTCGTTTGTGGGGCATGGTATAGGACTCTCAGTCACCTGCTTCAGGGCTTTGCTGACCTTGACTTTAAAGAAGTTTCTTATTCCTGTTTTTTATACCGCTGGTGATCATAGTCCATTCGAGGAGAGTTTCCTAAGAGAGTCATCTAGAACCTTCTGCCCAAACCCCCTGCCCCTTTGCAAGGAGCTGAGTCCTTGACCTGTGGGCTGTTTCTGCAGGGGTCCCCACCTCCTTCCTTGAACTCTGTCTACCCCATAGCTGCCCTGTTTTGTTAGCCTGTGTCTGAAGTTCTTCTCTGAACACGTTCCAAAACCTTCATTACTCTCTGAGGTTTGCAGCCAGCAATTACACCCAGGTTCCAGGACAGGGGCCCGCCTGCTGCTGGGTTCAAGGATCACCTCGTATGCCGGCGAGCTTTCTGTGTTGGGGCGAGGGGGAGTAATCAGGCACCAGCACCGGCCTGCAGGGTTCTCCTTTCCTTCCTTCAGGTTCGGAGGGCCTCTGCCTTTTGTCTTTGTGATGGGAAGCTTAGGGTAAGGGCTGTCAACTAAGGACCAGGAATGCCTTTTTCTCCTTTGAGGTCCATTATTCCAGGTGATGGGGTTCACCTCGATTTTAGGATGACCTGACATTTCAGATGGTCCTTTTGACTTCCCTAACTCCTCCCTGCAGAGAACTAGCATAGATACATTTGAAAATAGGATTCTTGACTGATTGATTTGAGCATTTGTTGATCATCTGCTCTATGCCGGCTGCTTTCCTAGGTGCTGGGGACACAGTGGGGAACAGAACCATCACAGGATGACAGGCCCTTGTGGGGCTCACAACCCGGTAGTAGAGACAGATACGAATCAGGTCATCCCATCCATGCTAGGGAGATTTGACCGCTTTCCTGTGGAAGTGATGTTGGAGCTGAAACTACAAAGATAAACAGATGTACGTCAGGCACAGCGGAGGGAAAGAACAGTCTGGGCAAAGCGGCTAGCACATGCAAAGGCCCTGGGGCAGGAGGGAGCATGGTGGGTGTGAGCGGCAGAGATAAATTGACATGGTGGGGGCCCAAAGGCTGAGGGGATGCAGGGGAGGATGAAGACACAGAAGAAACAGACTGCCCAGACACGTTGCTCACGTGACGGAGGTTTTCTTGAAGCAGAGGAGAGTGTTGGAACTAACTTTTAAATCTTGTTCTGTCCCGTCCCATATTTGGGTTGAAGGCTGACTTCCTTCCACTCACCAGCCCTGGCATTTGCCAAAACCCTCTATACACCTATCACTTGCCATTCATTCATTCATTGTTTCAAAGATTTCTCAAAGTTGATTTAGCGATATGTCTGGCACCATGCTAAGCACTACAAAGATAATGGTGAGCAGGACAAAAAGGGCCCCTACACTCACTCCCGTTCTCGTGGAGACAGGAGACAAGTAAAATGAGCAATTACAACACAGTGTGATTAGCACTTTGCGAGGATCAAGTAGAGAGTGTGATGGGTTTGCATTTCCCCCGAACACATTTCACTCCGACCTTTCCGCATCTGCACATGTCTGGCCCTGCCAGCCGCTGGTCATGCCCTTGCTCTTCTCTCCCAGCCGCAGCTTTAATTGTCCATTAAATTAATAGACGGAAGATGCTAGAATGAATCTTTCGACATCACTTCAGTGGAACTGGCAGTGCTCTGCCAAACGTGACTCTCGGTGTCTGATCTTGGCTGACCCAGTTTCTCTGCCTCAGATGAGCAATGACAGTGCCCCATCGGCTCTGTTATCTAGGTCATCGAACAGCAGCCACAGCGCAGCCCCCTCTGTGCCAGCACCCACCTCTCCTGCGTGTGCAGAGTTCCTTGCACAGCCTTCCGGTGGCATTGGGTGACCTGTGCACATCTAGCCTGGGGTGGGGGGGTGGTTAGCCATGCACGGCTCAGGCTTCCTGGTCCTTGGGGTGGGAGTAGGCACCGTATCAGGGTGTGGGTCCTGTGTCTTGCAGGTGACCACTTCAGAAATGCCGCCCTCCCGGTTACCGCAGAGCAGTGGGCGTAGGTTGCAGTTTCCAGGCCCTCTTTCCTCCTCCCTCAGTTGACAGCTCAAGTCCAGAATCAGAAGTCTGGGTCTCGGTGATTAAAACAACAGCAAGCAATATAAAACTGTGCACATGGTCTGCCCAGGTCACGTTGGTCAAGAACATGGGGTCTGGAATCCCAGCTCTGCCTTCTTGCTGTGTGACTTTGAGCCGTACGCTTGGCCTCTCTGAGCCTGTACATGGGGTAATAGAGTCTACTCATGAGATGTCATAGATAAGTAGTTTAGCACAATGACTGATGATGTTGTAGCCATTTTGTGTGATAATAACAGTTATTATATGATTTTCAAAATTCAGCTCCCTTTTCTGGTTTGGGGATAGAAGGTACATTTGCATATTTTCGGTCGAGCCTTTCCGTCCAACCCCGTGTTGACTGTAGCCACACCTAACAGACCACATGTAGGTAATGAGCTTTCTTCCCCTGCGCCTCCTTGCCCCTGCTCCATTTGACACGGAGCTGTCTTCTGGCCTCCCCTACAAGTAATGACAAGTTCTTTTCTTTCTTTCTCCCCTCCCGTCTTCTCGCCCTTGTGTAGGTGCAAATCGCATTGAGGTTCTGGCTGAAGTCTGGGACCACTTCTTCACTGAGACTCTCCCCACCCTGCAGGCAATATTTTATCCAGTCCAGGTCAGTCTCGCTGCAATGGCCTCGGCTTGGCCTTTGCGGCCTGGAGCCTCCCGGTGGGTGGGGGAGAGCCAGGAGGTCGGGGCCTGAGTTGGCTAAGGACTTGGGGGGGGTCTCTGCAGGGCGTTCTGGCTCTGTATTTAGTGTCCAACCTCACGTAAAGAGGGGGCCCTGCAGAGGCAGCAGTCTGCCTGCCCTCGACCCCCTCTCGGTCTGGAGCTTGTCTGTGCATTCTTGCAGAGGTTGCTTCTGTTAGTTTCCAGAAGTAGAAAAGGTGGGGAAAGCAGAGGTCTCCTTTTCTTTCCCTTTCTCCCCCCTTTCTCGGAAGCACGATTTTAAGCAAGTTTCCTGTTGCTCCCAGGCTGTGGGAAAGGAGTCGTGTTCCTTGCCCTCCATGAGGGATTCCTGAAGACAGTGTAGCAGGAAGAACACTGGACTTGGGATCTGGTTGGGTTTGGGCGAATGCTTTTCCCTTCTCCGAGCATAGCTCCGTTTCTTGTCCTGCAAAGTGAGGAACTTAGACTGAAAGATGAGAGGCATCTCTCTCGTGTTCTTGTTCTGTGACCTCAGCTCATTCTGCCCTCTGAGTCCCCGCTGCCATCCTGCAGGACGGGTCTGTGCCAGGCCAGAAGGGACATCCCCTATGGCAGGCTGAACAAGAGACCACCTCTCCAAAACATAAGTCTCCGCCACACCCCCGCGCTGCCCCGTGCCCACTGCCCCACCCACTCCTGCCCCAGGGTCAGGGCTTCACATCCAACCGGGCTGCGTGGGGGCCGGAACTACCTCGTGCCAGAGGTGATGACCCACGTGCTTTGTTTGCTCTGAGTGCTGCTTTAAAGGAACTTGGGGTTCTTTGAACTATTTCTCAAATATTTAAACACCGGGGGGGGTGGCTATCCCTGTAGAGTCCATTTCCCGTTCAGGACCTGCCCCTCACAGCTTCAGTGGAAGCCTGCAGTCGCTGCTCTCATCCCCTCACCCTCAGCCCGTCCTGTGCCCCCAGGAGAGGATGGATGGCATGTATGTGGCCAGGCAGCCCCCCCCCCCCCCCCGAGCTTCTCCCTCCCCTGCAGTAGTCACTCCTCGGCCAGCAGTGGGTCTCAAGAAAGACAGTGCTGGGATGGAGGGTCGACAGATTTAGCAAATGAAAACACAGGATGCAGAGTTAAATTTGGATTTCAGACAAACACGAATAATGCAATGTTTGAGACATATGCTAAAAACTATCCAAATTTAACCGAACAGCTTGTGTTTTATTTGGCAACCCCCCGAAGGGAGTTTGTAGTCCTGGGTCTCTGGTAGGACCAGTTGGGCGTGGAATTCCCAGGTGCAGGCACCCAGGTGGGTTTAGAATGGGGAGTGTGGGATCTGGGTGGGCATGGTCCTGGGGCGGTCATCACAGGGCCAAGGGCCCTCTTAGGCTCTGACCCAGGCGGGACCCCAGCTGTGCGGGTCAGAGGCTGCTACTGCCCTGCTTCTCTGGAAAAATGGTAAGATCTGAACAATTGGTGTAGCCCTGTCCATCTCCCCCTAATTTCTCTAGTGATGCTATGGTTGGTCCAGACACCCCACTTTCAGATCCCCTGGCTTAGGGGTCCTCACTACTCCAGTAGCACCCCCCGAGGTATCTGTGAGTCCAGCCAGGTCCTTCTCATAGGTCCCTCGTCGGACAGGTGTGGTTCTGAGTGCCTGCTCTGTGCGGGGCTGCAGACCTTTGCCCACCTTCTTCTGTCTTGTAAAATGAAATGGCTCCTGGAGGTAAAGCGAGGGCACAGATTTTTATGGGATGAGTAGTCAGTGCCAAGTGCTGGGTCACGGTGCAAGAAAGAAATGGAAACTGTGGGACCTTGGGAAATACGGGGGCGGGGTGTGGACTGCTGTCAGGGCAGATGGTCTGGAAGCGGTGGTTGAGCTGAGCCTGTACGGCGTGGGTGGTGCTGTGTGTGTCTCTTGGGGCTGCAGGGTAGGGGGTGCAGAGATGGCCAAGCCCTCTCACCTGTGTTTCTGCAAACCTTCCTGAGGTGTTACAGGAGATGCAGAACTCAAACCTTGGGAGCCTTGAAGGAAGGGAACCTATGTCCTATTTGGTAGGGTAGGCCTGAATGATGTTTTTGTCTCTACCGAGAGCAATTGATATTTTGTATGTTCTGTGTATATACACACAAAGGAGAGCCTTGGAAACGGGTCCTTTCCCCCCTTTTCTGTCTGGGTAGACTTCGGGAGCTCTAAAATCAAGTAGTTCAGGGTTGCAGTCTAGCTCTGCGTGGGACAAATGACTGTCACTTTGGGCTCTAGGATTTGTCACCTGTGAAGTGGGTTTTAGGATAGCACCTCTATCAAAGGGTGGTCACGGGCACTGAATGTATTATTTACCTTAAGACTACTTAGAATCGTGCCTAGCCCATAGTCAGAGCTCAGGAAGTGTCAGTTCTTAGGGTTATCCCTGCACCCACCCCACACAGTTGAATGAGTCCCTTTCTCCTACTTTCCCAGTCACTCTTCTTCCTGAGTAACATGCATGCATGTAAGAGTCTAATAGGTCCCACACTTTCCTCCTTTGCCTGGCATGTGACTGGTGCTCAAACATTTAATGGATAAAGCGAAAGAAGCAGCCTTGAATGTGGGGAGGAGGTGGTGGCTTTTTCTCGTTTCCCCCATTGTCCTCTCTTTGCCTTCTTTCTGACCACTCATGGCGCCCGTGACAGACATGCCCCCCCACCCCGCTTCTATGTAACATCTTTGCATTATTGAGGCAGGTTGAGTCAGAGCTTTCATTCTGAAGGGTGGGGGCCAAGTCTCTGACTCTTTGGCAGCGCTGCCCCCACCCTAGGCCTTGCAGACACCCTGTCCTCTCCCATCCTGGGTGCTCTGTACCCCAAGTGGTTGATGGCAGGTCCTGTGAGCTCTCCCCTCCTGACACTCTGCCTCTTCCCTCCTCCAGGGCCAGGAGCTGACCATCCGCCAGATCTCCCTGCTGGGCTTCCGAGACCTGGTCCTGCTCAAGGTGAAGCTGGGCGACCTGCTGCTTCTGGCCCAGTCCCAGCTGCCCTCGTCCATTGTCCAGATGTTGCTCATCCTGCAGGTGAGGCCCTGGTAGAGACACGCCCCCAAGGCTGAGAGAAGAAAAGAAGGGACTACGGGGAAGGAACCAAGTGACCAGAGCACCTTAGCTTCGTGTCGTGTCCTTTAGTCACTTATGTTCCTTTGTCACTGAGCATCTGCAAGGTCCCTGGCACTGTGCTGGGATCCCAGTGGGGAGGGAGCAGCAACGCCCTGTCACTCACACAGTGGACACCCTTCTCTCCTCTCCTCTGTCAGGGAGTCACAAGTTATGAATAACAATAAGAACCTCCTGCAGGCTAGCTCAAGCCAGACCAGGACTCCCTGGAAGGTTCCTGGGGCAGATGGGCTTCCCAAGGGACTGCAACCACGGGGAGACCACAGTCGGGCCACAAAGCCCGTCTTTCTCCACCTACTGGTCTCTGCTTCCGTCTGGTCCACCTTGGTTCTCTCTGACGCTGCCTCTCCTGTCCTGGCCTCTCCTGGACCCGGCCTTTCTATCTGCAGAACTGCATTCCGTGCCTTGGTCCGCACCTAATGAAACGTGACGTCTCATAGCTCGTGTGTTTCCTCCAAGAGACAACCCCAGATGGTTGTGTGGCACCTCTTTGTCCCGATTCTAAATCAACAATAGGAAGACGAGCTCACATTTGCTGCTTCCTGCCAGGCACGTGCCAAAGACTTTATTAAGTGTGTTGCTCTCTGAGTCAAATTATCCAAACGACCGCGTGGTGAGGTGGGCACTGTTGTGGTTCCCACTTTACAGGTGAGGAAAGTGAAACTCAGGGAGTTTATGTGCTTGCCCGAGGTCCCTTGGCAAGGTGATAAGATTCAGAACTAGGTACACTCGGGGAAAGACGGTGATTGCCCCAGCTTGAACTACGGAACTCACCTCAGCACGGCCGGCTATGACCTTGAGTGGGATCAAGGAGTACAAACATGACCTCAGCGATCCCAGTCCTATGGATGGGGGTGCATACTTCTCAAGGAACAGGGCTTGTGGGCTAGGGATACCCCCAAAAGGAGATGACTAACCAACCATCCTTCACCTCTGTACCAATTTCAGATGCTGCAGTATCAGCTCTGAGCCCGTCCATGGGAAGACAGTTCCATCCTTGTCAGGCAGCCTGTGACCCCAGGGGGTCCTCTCAGCAGGGGTGGGACATCAGCCTTGGGGCCCTGACATCTCCCTTCCCCTTTGGCCATTCTCTTCCTGCTCCCTAGTTGGACCAAGCTTCTGGGCATTCTCCCCCTTTCCTGAGACCAGAGCAGAGGCAGAGTTGCCTCACAGGATGAGAGTGGGCGTAACTGGCTGGAATGCCGGCGCGGAATTGTTACGGCGGGGAAGGAGAAGGTGAGGGGTGGAGAAGTGCGTGTGCAGCTCCTGTCTGAGGAACAGAAAACAGAGCTTGGAACCCAAATAAGGAACCCAGAAAAGGGCGCCTGAGGTTTCGGATAGGAAGATTAGGAAAGTGGGGTTTCCACCCTCTCATTTCCGTGTCTAATATTTCAGGAATGAGAGGTGATTCCTCTTTTGTTGTTTTTTTTTGGGGGGGGGGGAGGAGAGTTGAGGGAAGGGCTGTCACCTGTGAACAGTAGACCAAGAGGGCCTTAATAAACCCCAATATTTCAGGCCCTGTGCCCAACAACCCAGCCACGGTACGAGACAGCTGTCATCTTCCCCCGTGGAGTCCCTAAAAATGGTTAGTCTGCTGTCCCAGGGGAATCTTCCTCCTTCCACCTTGGCCCCCACTCCACTTTGCTCCCCACGGGGCAGCTTTAACTCTTCAGCGGTCCACGGGGATCTTAGGAAAACAGCCCAAGTCTGCACCCTGGCCTCTGGCCCCTCCCACCTCCCCCGCCTCGCTGGAACCTGACTTCCCAGCTGTTCAGCTCTCCAGCCACACTGGCCTTCTGGGCCTTTCCCTGCCATGCAGGGACCTTTGTGCCCCTGTTCCCTCCACCCAGAGCACTGGGTTTCCAGCAGCCCACCAGGCCCCTCCGGTCAAGGCAGAGCTGTGTGTCTTCTGCCTTCGGCACGCAGCACAGTCTGTGGCACATAGTAGGTGTCAATTAAACATTCGTTCGGTGAATAAGGGCACCAGGTAGTAAGAGCCGCAGTAGGACTGAACCCAGGTCTCTGGCCTCAGCCCTCTCGGTGGTGAGCCTCACACGGGGATTCCAGCCTTGGGGCGGGGCGGGGGACGTATATCTGGAGAAACTCTGGTTGTGACAAATTTCTGGGAAGTCGGGCAAGGGAACAGCCCCCACTTTCCCTTTTCACAGATGTGGGGAGGTTCAGAGAGGTGGCCGAGGAGCCCAAGGTCACATCTTAATTTTTAAGAGATGAGTGTGTCAGTCATTCCTCAGCTCTTGCTTTTTCTACCTTTCCACTCAGCCTTTCTGGGCTATGCCCGCCTCCGCTGCCCCCTGCAGTCTCCCGAGGTACTTGGAAATGCCCACGAGCTTTTAAGATGGTCCCTCTCTAACACAGAGCATTTGGCACCGTTACCCTGGGGCCCTCCTGGGACTAGTGCTAAGAGCCCAGGTTTGCCCTCCCTCACTCAGACCTACAGAGCCTGGGGCTGGGAGTGTGACAGGGACACACACAGGGTGTCTTTCCTCCGTCGAGGTCCATCTTCCTGAGCAGGAAGGACAGCAGCTTCTGGGTCTGAATGGGACTTGCAGGTTGCACTGCTCTGGACGCAATCCTACCACAGGAAATTTGGGTCCCCCTCTCTCCCCAGCCCACCACCTTCCAACAGCGCCCTGAGGTCCAGGCTGATTTTCCCTGCCTGATTCTCTTACGGGGCAAAGAGCCATTTCTCAGGCCTTGCTCCCTCCCTTTTCCAGTGCGCTTCCAAAGTGTCCCTGATCAAACCCCCCCACCGTTTCCAAAACACACACGGGGCTCCAACTTTTCTGCTGTGTGCAGCGTGGCCCCGTCCTCAGGCTGTCCCGGGCAGGGGCTGAACTGGAGACTTAGCCCATCGAGGACTCTGGTTCCTCCTGGCAGGTGCAGGCTGGTCCTGAGATCACCCTAGGACGGCGCCCTGTGCCTTTAAAGCTGCCCCCCTACCCCAGCCACCCCAACCATCCTGGAGCCAACAAGGGACCAAGTCAGCCTGCTTCTCTGGGAGCACCCACCGCACCTGGTGGTCCCCAGCCTGCAGGAGTGGGCCCTCCAGTTTTATTGCCCGACCGTCTCCCTCTGCAGTCCCTGAAAACCTAAAGTGGGTTCTCACTTTAAAGGGGGGGTGATCGAAAACCCATTCCACCTTGAGAATCTGACTGGCAGCTCGCTGGGCCGGGGACAGCCCCCACGGATCCCTGTCTCTGCTCCCCTGCAGGCCCTCCACTGGAGAGCGTGGCCTGGAGTCCTTCCCAGTGGTCAGCGGAGTCCCCCAGGAGTCCGCTGGTTTTTAAGGAAACCATGGTTACTTCCCGGCTCCTCTCCGGGTCTGACTGCTGTGCCCTTGTTCTGGCTGGTGTCTGCTCTGGCTTCAGCTCAGAGGCCTCTGGTTGTGCTGGGCTTCTGAACTGGCTTCGTCTCAGTGCTAAACCTACATCTTGTTCCACAATGACTCCCCCTTTCTTCTACTGTTCTGGACTTTTTCATACTCTGTCCCCCTTTCTTTTCTAGCCTGTTAACAAGTGTCAGTGAGATGTGCGTGGAGCCAGACAGCCTGGGTTCCAGTCCCGGGTTTTTGCCAGTCACCAGCTGTGTTTTCCTGGGCAACTTGCTTAAACCCTCTGGGCCTGAGTTTCCTTGTCTGTGGCCTGGAGAGGAGAGTGTCAATGTCCTCGGGTTGTCGGGAGGCCTCTGTGCTTTGACACGTGTCCCGTGCCTGCCTGCTGAATGTGGAGCAGTCACTGTGACAGCGAGTCTGGGGCACCATGGTTGGGACCACACCCCAACCTCAGAGCTGGGGTGGGGACTGTCCCGACCCCACTGTGTTGGTGGGACCTGTGGGAGAGGCACCATGGCACCCACCATACACAGTTCTGATCACGGGGACCCACGACAAGTTCCTTGGGCGTCAGGCCTCGGTTTCCTGCGCTGTGGTCACGAGGATGCTGCCTGCTGGTACCACTGCCATGAATGTAGCAAGAGGGCCAGCCGGCTGTGGCGACTTTGACTGACATTTGCCTCTCTTGGATGTTTGTTTCCAGAGTGTTCATGAGCCCACAGGCCCAAGTGAGGGTTATCTACAGCTGGAGGAGCTGGTGAAGCAAGTGGTTTCTCCTTTCCTGGGCATCAGTGAGGACCGCAGCGCCTCGGGCCCCATGTACACACTGGGTAAGGGGCACAACACTCGACCTACCTGGAGCCTTGATGGTCACACCGCCACTGGCTACGTTTTACTGGGCCCCGATCATGTGCCAAGACGTTTGCTTCTGGGGCAGGTCCATGCAGATGTGTGCGTGTTGACCCCTCCTGCTTTCTGGCTGGCCCGTGTCTCGGTACCCTCCTCCCCGAGCCGTGATCCCTCCCCCGGGGCTCGGACTGTGCCTCTGTGGCGGTGCTTGTCTGGTCCGTGTCTCGCTCAGTGGCTTTGACCTTTGTCTCGTGCCCACCACGTTCATTTTTCCTGTATCTGACACCAGAAACTGGGCGTTCCTGTACCACTCCCACTTGAGTGAAAACACCGCCCGTGGTCGTTTGCCTTTGAAAGCTGCTGGAAACGGGAAGCCGGCTCTGGCACACGTGGCCCCATGAGCTGGAGCTGCTGCCCCCCACTCTGTTTCTGGAGGTGCCGCTGGGGCCTTCGCCCCAAGGAAAGGGGCTCCCGCATTTGGAGACCAGTCCTACTGGGGACTGTCTTGGGGTCCGGAAAGTTAGTGTTATTGAGTGTCAGGCTTGGTGCTAGCCACCCCAGGGAAGCTAGAGATGAATCGGGTTAGTTTTTTTTATCTCAGTGAAACCTCAGTCTGGCTGGGAAAATAGCTCTATAATAAGGCTTACCATAAAGGACATTTCTCAGTTACCCTCTGAAACAAAAGCTCCCCAAACGTCAGGATGTTTTGTCGGCTGTTCTATCTCCAGTAACTGGCATGACGTCTGGTATACAGTAGGCACTCAGAAATGTATGTTAGATGGATAGCGTCTAATGGAGCGTAGATGGAGGCCAGGGTGACCAGCACCCACATAGGTGCAGAGATGGAAAGAGATTCCCCGAATTTATAACCTGTGGCCCCTTCTCCTTGCTCGAATGGAGCTGGAGCTGAGCTTCAAAGCCGAAAGGAGAGGAGCAGCCCCGGCGAGGCGCCTGCCCCTCCCTGGGCCTCCCCGCTGCAGAGAAAGGCAGGGCCGGCTGCAGTCTTCACAGCCCCGTCATGTTTCTCTGGAGACATCAGCTTAACCACAGCCACCGCAGATCGGAGGGTGCCGGCCCCAGCCTGCCGCCTGCCAGGTTCCCCACCGGCTCCCTCCCCTCCCTCCTCTCTCACTCATTCCGCACAGGAGCTGGAACCAGCCTGAGTAGAATCTGCCCTCCTTGCTGTGACTGGTTGCCGTGTTGCCGTGCCCTCCTCGGAGACCAGCTTCCCGCTCGGGCTCAGCCCACCGGTCACCTTGCCGAGGCTCCCTGAGTGGGGCGGGAGGACCCAGGCGGATGTCGGGACGCCAGCAGGGGTTGGGGGGCCGTGGCAGGGACTCCATCCATCGTGGCCGGGCCTAGAGCCAGGCAAAAGGGTGGATGCAGAAGTGTGTGCAGTGAGGATTCCAGGAGGGGCGCCTTCAGTTTTCCAGCCAAACGAGCAATACATACTTTTTCAAATTATGAAGCAAAGGCCTAAGGTTTTATTCTTATGCCAGGGCCAATCCTTGCCTTCTAAGGTGTTGTCTCAGTAGGGGTAGAGAGGGAAGGAAATAACCGTCTTTTGATTTGTTTGTTATTATTAATTAAGAAAATGCACTCTAAGGCCCTGTTCTGGGCACCTTGTGGGGTGCTGCGGGTATACCTGTGAACAAAACTGACCCAGCCCTGCCCTCGGCGAGCTCGGTCCAGTGAGAAAAGTCACAAACAACAGGCGGTGACTCATCAGGGCACAAGTGCTCTGCATGGGGAAGTACAGGGCCAGGGCCCCACGGCAGGGGAAACTTACCTGGAGGGGAAATCAGGGAAGGCTCCCTGGGGGAAGTGGCAGGGAAGCGATATCTCTGATGGGACCAATAGGATGAATATGAGTTAGCTGAACAAATGGGAAAGGCGGACTGTCCCTGAGGCCAAGGGCAGGATCTGCGGGAGGGCTCTGGGGTGGCGGTAGCGGTTGCAGCATTTGAGGAACTGAAAGAGCTTCAGAGCTGCACAGTGGCTGGCGTTCAGGGAAGCCCCAGGCACAGGCAGTGTGCTGGGCCCTGTGCTGAGCGGCCTGGGCACCGTGCCACCGAGTGGGCACCGTTGTTCCCGTTTCACAGGTGAGGGAAATGAAGATTGGGGTCACTTGGCTGTCGGAGCCAGGCTTCCAGACCCGCAAGCTGCCTGCACTTCCCCACAAGCTCTGCCTCACCCCCTCACCACCCTGGGAGATGGGCCTTCCCTCTCATCCCCAGCCCAAGAGGCATCAGACCAGACACCTCTGCCCTCCCTTACCGAGGACAGTCCTTTCCAGACTGAGAGAGGCCTCTCCGGGCCTCCGTCTCCCACTCTGCAACATGGGGACAGTGACCTTTACCCTGCCCGAGGGAGAGCCGTGTCCAGATGGCCTGCTGACGTCCAGACTGAGGAGATGCGCTGGACACGAGAAACCCCTGCACCCTCAGGAGGGCTCTGCCACCGTCCCCTGGGGCCTGACCTGGGCCGGGAGTGGTCCAGGGCAGCTGGCGATCACCTGAAAAGCCACCACGTAGCAAACACCTGTCCCGTTCCAGGAGCTGGGCCAGGTGCCTGGCCTGTATTCCTTCCGTCCTGGCACGACCTGCAGGAGGCAGGGCCGGGGCGGGTGCTGTGGCCACCTCCATCTCCGCATCATTAAGACACATCCCCAGGGTCACGCAAGGGCAGAGGTGACCAGAACCGGAGACGTGGTTTTTCTAAGACGCTCCCAGGTTTGATCCCGGGATTTGTGGGAAGACTCTTTCTCTCTGCCAGCCAGGCCCGTGGGCTTGAGGGATAAGCCTCATTCCCTGGACACGCAAGGCTTGCTTCAGAGAGAAAAGATGAGTCTGAGACTGTGGAGTGAGAGTGCCTGTGTGTGTGTCTGTGTCCCCTCCAAAGCCGTCATTTTTCTCGGGCAGTGGGGAAGGGAGGGATGATAATGATATCTTAAATAGGCCGATCTGTCAGAACCCAGGCCCCCATCCTACCTTTCTCCAGAAGTTCCCAAATTTTCCAAGCCGCTGCCCCAGCTGCAGACAGGGCCCTCGGATCAAACACTGCAGGCTCCATTTCTCCTGCACAAAAGCCCTGGCCTCCCACACGCCCCCCGCCCCCATTGTGTCTCCAGGGGGAGGGCCCTTCGCCTCCAGATACTGTAACTTCTCCTCCTGACAAGTAGGCATTCATGGGCTTTCAGGTGCAGCGGCCTGGAGAGGGACGCCCACAATGGACTTGGTGTGCAGGGGTCACAGTGCCTGCATTATGGCCGCCACTCCGGTGGGGCCTGGCCGGTGAGCCGTGGAGATCAAAGGCCTGGGAACCAAGTCCCCAACAAAGGGCCGGGGGACCGCCTCACCCAGGCTTTCTTCTCTCAGTGGGTGTGAAAGGAGCTGCCATTGCGGGCTCCGTGCAGGGCGAAGAATGCCAGAGCTGGGCGGTGGGCGGGTGGTGGGGGAGCCTGGTGCCTGAGGAAGGAAAAAAGGCTCCCCTCGCCCCATCCAGAGTGAAAGGCTGGAGGAGGCCCAGGGGTGGGTCCCTTCTCTGCGCAAAGGGCACCGAGGCAAGGGAGGGACCTTTTTTTTTCCTGAGGCCCCAGGGGATGCTGACAGCTTCATCCGTCCCTTGGTGGGAGGTTTCCTTCTCTGAGTGGCAGGACCAGGGCTCCCTGGTGCGAAGAAGTGGGGAGAGAGCAAACAGCAGCAGTGTGGGGAGCTGTCCGTCAGGCCTGGCGTCTGTTTGGAGGCCTCCGGGGCGCCCAGTGGGGGCTGACCCCACTGGGGATGCAGTGGATGCACTTGTGTGAGGGGTGCATCTGGAGTGCGGTGGGAATTCGGCAAGGAAGCACTGTCTGCCCAGGGGACTCGACACAGCCCCGAGGCCCCTGTGGTCTGGGCTCTGCCCACACCCGATCTTGGGAACCAAAACATTTCGTCCAGAAAGCAGAAGGAAGGGCTGTTGGCCTCTCTGGTGAGTCATCGCAGGGAAGGCAGGGAGCAGCAGTAAGGACAGAGGTGGGGCCAGCTGCGGATGGAGCCGGGCCTTGCAAACTACAAGGGCTGCATTTCAGCTGTGTGGCCTGGAGTAAGTTACTTCACGTCTCTGAGCTGCCAAGGGCTGAGCGCAGAGGAGAAAGGCGTTGCCCTGCCTTAGGGCAGGACCCAGGCAGAGCTGCACCCCTGCTAGAGGTGGTCTGGCCCCTGAGGAACCATTCCAGATGAGGCGCTGTGTGTAGCTTCCCCCTCCCTCTCCTGGACCCTGGACCACATCCTGGCACCAGCCATGCTGTGTAGTCATGGCCTAATTATCTGTCGACCTGCCCCTGAGACTGTGAGCTCACCGAGGGCAGGGCGCACGTGGTTCCCCTTGCAGCCCAGACCCCAGCACAGGCCTCTCAGTGAGTGAGTGGATGGCCAGTCTGGGTTCCATCTGTCAGTCACTCTCAGAGGAGCGGGCCCATCTGACATGACCCCTCTGCGTGACTCCTCCGAATCCCCACAGTGCTTTTGTAAGTACCTCTGCCTTGACATTGGCCATGTGGACCTGTTTGAATTGTTGGCTTGTTTGAATAGTTGTCTCTGTATGGGCCTCCCAGGGGTCACAGGCAGGGCCTCTGGTGTTGGCTTGGGGCTCGAGTCCTGGTTTCATCACTAACTGTGACTGTGAGGTCATGTAGCAGCTCAGCCACACGTGCCTTTTCTGCAAAATGGTCTCCAGGAGATTCTGTGGGTGAAGTCCGTCCTTTTGTGATTCAGTACCCAGCACATAATAGATGCTCAGTTAATGGCTGTGCCTAAGACAGCTCCCTCCCACACGTGCATCTGAGCACTGGGCTCCTGGCCCTTTGACAGGCTTCATATCACATTCATGTTTCTCTTTGTCCTGCAGTGAGCACGGCATTTTGCACTTTGTAGCTCAAGAAGTGTTTATTGCAGGGGCAGGGGGAGTATACAGGAGTCATGGGGACCCCCTCCTCAGGTTGCCCACCTTCACTCTGGGCCCAGCTCTCAGCAGCAGCCCCACTGGCCCCTCTTGTCAGTTTGCTGCCTGCCAAACCCTCCGAGGACTTTGGGCAGCTGGACTGACGATGTCAGAGAGGTGGACGACACCCTGGTGCCCGTCTGAGACAGGCTTCCTGTCTCCTTCTACCGGGTCGAGGTCCGTGGATACCATCAGTTGCATTCCCATGTTTCCCGGAGATGCTGCTTGTGTCTGCCGTGCACATCTGTCCCCCATGCCCTCAACGCACCTGTGCCCTGGGCCCCGCCTTCATTCTGGCCCTTTCCTTGTGCTGCGCCTGCAGCACCCGCACGTAGGAAATGCTCAGCGAGCACTCTCACCCCATCACCAGCCAGGCCGGCTGGAGAGTGGGGGCCACAATATGGGTGTTGCCATTGCCAGTCTGAAGTGCTTGTGTTTAACAGCAGCGGGAGAGACATGACTTGTTTTCAAGGGCATTTTTAAAGGATGGTTCTTTAATGGGGTCTCTGCTTCTTTGAACTCTTCTCTTGCTTCTGTTTTATAGGTATCGATTTTGTGGTCATAAAAGTAATACATGGTTATTGTAAAAATGTGGGGACATTATAGGAATGTGTGGCTTCAGACAAAACCTCTGCCACAGGCTGGCGTAGATTCTTCTGTCTTGGTTGCTCCCTGGCATTTTGTAGCCTATTCTTTCTTCCTCGTTGATTAAGAGGTTTTGACCTCCCATTCTTTCCTCCTCAGTTACAGCCTTTGCTGGTTTTTCTCTTGCAGCCAGGCGCCACTCCCGGGTCCGGTCCAAGGTCACTGTCCTGAACTACGCCTCCCCAATGGCCACCATCAGCCGGCCACTAAATGAGATGGTCCTGACCCCTCTGACGGAGCAAGAAGGGGAGGCCTACCTGGAGAAGTGTGGCAGTGTCCGGCGGCACACGGTGGCCAATGCCCACTCGGACATCCAGCTGCTGGCCATGGCCTCCATGATGCACCCAGGCTTAGGCGAGGAGCCCGGCGCCGAGGACAAGTGCCTGCTCCTGCCGCCCAGCTTCTCCGCACCCCACCGCCAGTGCTCCAGTGAGCCCAGCATCACCGACGGCCCCGACCAGGTGGAGGAGGTGGCGGGGGGCAGCCAGGAGGACTCGGAGGCAAACAGTGCTTCCCTTGGCTGAATGCCCACGTCCAGGACGTCCCAGCTCCGGCCCAGCAACCAGGATAAGGACGGTTCCATCCTGTGAATCACCAAGGGGCTCCTCCTTTGGGCAACTGCTGCCTCCTGTCTTCTTGGGGACAGGCCTAGCCTAAGTGCCCTAGGGGAAACCTAGTTGTAAACCTCTCCATTTTCGTGACTGTGACCACCTCTTCGCAGCCACACGGACCCAACTGCCTAATGTTCACTTGCTGACTTCCAGCCTTGCCTGCCTGACTCGGATCCTCGTCTCTGGGCTCTCCCCCCTCAGATGCTGGACTGTCCCATGGTCCCAATGCAGTATCCCAGTGCCCTTGGCATTGCCATAGCAGGAGGTTATCTGAGCGGCGCATGAAGCCAGCAAGGATGTGTTGGCTTTTGGAGTTCCCCTATAGGTCTGGTGAGGCAGAGGCTTGTGGGTGAAAAGATACCTCTCCTCCCCTGTGTGTGTCGGTGCGGAGGGAGAGGAGAGAGCAGCCCCTACCTACCAGGACTCTGGGCAAGTGCCTTCCTTGTTTCAGTCTCAGAATTACTGGGAAAGAATTGCCCACTGGCGGTAGGGTCCATCCGGGTCCAGCGGGGCGGGGCCAGAAGGCAGGAGACACCTGGCTTGGATGAAGCCTCTGCATTGCCCCCTCAGGCTTCCTCCCAAGCTCAGGGAACTAACCTCCCTGGTGGAGTAGCTGATGCCTTCATCTCTTTTACTTTAGAGACGGACCGTTTTCTGTTTGTTGTGGGTGAAGGGCCGGCTGATACCGACCCACGAGTGTGTTCCTGGATTTGACTTGAATTTTCAAAGCGTGCATCGTCTCAAAAACAATTGTTTGCAAATATTTGCACATAGGATGTTTCACTGCTCCTTTCCGACGGGGTGTGTCTTCAAGCTGAAAAATAAGGACGCCCTCCAGGGAAGGGAGACTGGACGGGTTCGGGGGCGAGAGTGGTCCGTGGTGGGCAGGGTTCAGAGGCGGCGGAACTCGAGCAGCTGGATTCGCATCTAGAATGGCCTGTGTGTGTGAGCGTTGTGGTTTGTAGGAGAAGCTGCAGCGAGGTAGGGAGACAGCTTGCCTTGTGGGCAGACGGTGGCGGCAAATGGAATGTCTGCATGCTTCCCAGTGGGGGGAGATGGAGGAAATGTTCATTCCCCGTGATTAAAGGAGAATCTGGGTGCGCTGGGAATTTCTGACGTGGGAGCTCTCCACGTGCGGTCGGGGCAGCAGGCTTTGGGGCTGTGCTGCCTCCGCACCCTGCTCCCCCAGGTCTGGGCTCGCGGTCCATCTCGGACCTCTGTTCCTCTCTGAATTCACCTGTTGGCCCCACTCACAACAGCTCCAGAAGAAAGGAGAAGGCTCCTCTGGACCCTTCTGGCACCCTCTGGGTACCCTGTTGGGCTTGGAAGCTCTGTGAATAAAATCTAGAGACATGAGTCAGCCTGGCTTCCCCTGGGGGGGCGGGGGGCGGCTACGAGGGCAGAGGACAGTTGCAGCAGCTCCCCGAAGCCTTGACAACCTTTCCCTTCTGGGGGAAGATCTGAAACGTGACCAGAGTTGTGCTTCTGATGGCTTGTGATTGGGACATTGTGTCTAACGAGTTTCATGTTCATCCTGCTACGAGAGTGATGGGAGAGAGATGTTCAAAGGAGACCTGAGAATTTCAAACGACCACAAAAAATCTTGGGGTGCGCGTTGGATAAAGCCCACAGATTGACTAACACGCATTAGCAGATGGCACATCAGTAGGTAACAACCTGACAATTTATTTAACTGATGGCTTCTGTCCTGTGGTACACTAAGCACTGGGGAGTGGTATTTATCGATCCAGGCAAAGTAATTAATGATGCTTGGGTCTAAGGTTTTTTGGGGTTTTTTTGGTTTTGTGGTTTTTTTTGTTTGGTTTTTTTTTTTTCGTTTACAACATTAGCAATACACATGCTTTTAAATGCCTTTTCTGTACCACAAATGACCCTGATGAGGACGGCAGTCACTGGGTCAAATGTGTGGGTTCGGACGGGGAGTGCTGGGCCAGACCCGGGGGACTTAATTTTGCCGGTGACTGTTAGCCGGTTTACAGCTTCACCTGGATGTACATGCCTGAGGTTTGCACAGCAAACATTTGGGACGGTACGTAGGAAAATTGTGTTCATGTTCACAGGCATTTTAACACTCTCAGAGCTGGTGCAAGAGGGACAGTTGTTGTGTTTTAACCACTGCCTCTGCCCTTTACGAGATGAAGATTCATCTTCGTCGTCTGAGCGAGGATGTTCCTGTGGCTGAGGTTTAATGACAGGAAGCGATCACGACGCTAAACTCTGAGCGAGCTCACAAACCAAAACCCTTCCACGGTGTCTGTTTCCAACACGGATTCAATAAACATCATTTCGTACGCGTTACCACCCTGTGCCCACGTGTGGTGCCTTGATGGAATTTGCGAGCAAGCGCAGCGGCCCGTCTCGCACCCTGTCCTCACCCTCCCTGTCCCCGCTCTTCCTGCTTCCACGTCCCTCCTGCTGCTGCCTGGTCCTCTCCCCCAGGGCTAGGCGGCAGCCTCCCCGCAGCCAGTCTCCCTGGGGTTTGTTTGCATCCTTGTTTGGACTGGCAAGTGCTTTCCTGGAGAAAGGGCCTGTCTGCGGTGCTTGGAAAACACCGCATAGCGTCCGAGAAGGCAACACCCCTTCTCACACCAGCTCGGTCTCTTCCCGGAGTGTCTGAGCTCGAGGGGACGCTTGACCGTATTTACTCACCGACTTTCTCGGATTCCCCTGCAGTTCTGTGTGGCAGAAAGAAGGTATACTTCACTCTCGGCATGAGTTTTCCTAGCATGAGTTTGCAAGCTTCCCTAAGCCTGAGGCCTCTGGAAGTTTAGTACGAGCATCTCAAGAGGTGTGGCCCGAACTGATTGAAGGTCCTGGAGGACGTGAAGGGGAGTGTGTCCACTTTTGTCGAGTCTTCAGAGGCTGTGACTACAGCAAGTGGCCGCCGAGCAGTCTGCCTGGGTGGGTTTCCTGTCATTGGTGCGCCCCCGTCTTCACGCACCCATCCCCTCATCTACCCATCGCGGGTTTGCGGGCCTGCCTCTCTGTGTAGGCGCTTTCTTGGGCTGGGGATGCAGGGATGGACATAACCGAGGTGCCAGGTGTTTTGGAGCTTACCATCTAATGAGGAGGGGTAGCAGTCAAGTCAACACAGGAGTTGCAGGTAATGGACAACACCGGATGGAATGACGTGGCAAAACGCAGTGACTAGAGGGTGACCTGAGGGGAGGTGTCTAGGGAAGGTCTCTCTGACATGGAGCTGAGCTCTGAGTGATAAGGAGCCAGCCTTAGAGTCTGCTTTCAACTTCTATTACTGCCGTAGCAGATTAGTAGCTTACAACAACACACTGATTATCTTACGGTGCGGTAGGTTGCAAGTCTGACCTGGGGCTCACTGAGCTGAGATCAGGGTGTGGGCACCAGCTGCACTTGCACTAAAGGAGAATCCACTCCCTCACCTTTGCCAGCTTCTGGAGGCTTCCGTGCTCCTCGACTCCCGGCCCTCCTCCTCCATCTGTAAAGCCAGCAACGGCAGATTGAATCCCTCTTGCATCCATCACACCAACCCGCATTCTATTCTACCTCCCTGTTCCACTTCTAAGGACCCTTGGGTTTCCATTGAGCCCACCCAGGTAATTCAGGATGATCTTCATCTCAAGATTTCTGTGGGCAATGCCTGTGCTACGCCCTGTGCTGATGTTCCTGGTAATAGAAAGGCCAGCCACACGGTGTGCTGGGGACCCCGGGAGGATGAGGCTGCATTGGGTAGTGGGCAGGGGTTGGGCTGGTCTCAGAGTCCAGGGCAGACTGGTTGGCCTGTCCCAGAGTCCTTGGAGCCTGGCCTCAGCCCACTAGGGCCTGGATTCCCACAGTGGCCATGATTCTTGGTCCCTTGCTCAAATCTCTCTTACTCCTCATCTCATATGCCTGTCAGGCCCTCATCACCCCGTTTGGACCCCTCCGACTTGGTACCAACTTGCCTGCAGACCTCATCTCTCCCTGTGGACATCCCCAACTGGTTTTTTCTAAAATGTAGCCCCTACTTAGAACTTCCCCCTGGCTTCCAATGAAATCTACACACCTGAGCTTAAGGTGTGTAGAACACCTGTCAGGGTTCTTTCCAGGCTGACCCCCACCTGCCTTTCTAGCCTCCTTTGCTACCCTGGCTGCTCGCTGTCCTGGAAAACTGCCTTCTTCCTTCACTCCCTCCTCTGGGTACAAAGAGCCACTTCTATTTCTGCACATTCTCAGGCGCTGTTTGGCCTAGCAAAACAGAGTTTGAAGTCGTGTGTTGAATGAATTAGTGGGAAAGGGATAATTCTGACTTTTATGCCTCCCCCCAGGTATTTACAGAGGACCGTCACCCCCTTTCCTTTCTCCTCAGGCAGGGGCCTTCCCCATGCTGCTCTCTGAGCATATTCCAGCTGAGGCCATGTGGCCAGGTGACGCTGTGAGCACAGGTGAGGCCGGGTCTGAGCCCTTCCTGCCCCAGCCAGTGGCTGCCATGTCCTTGCAGAGAGCCAGCCCGGGCTCCACAGGGCTGCTGCTTTGCTCCTGGGCCTGTCTCCTTTCTGTCTAAGACATTCCTCTGGGGCCTGGAACATGCGCCTGAGGGAGGGAGGGCGCCAGGGCCCGTGTTATCTGCAGCAGGGCCATCTCTTTGAAGAAACCCTCCTGCCACGAAGTACAAGGAAGCCCTGCCGGCTAGCTCGGCTGGTTAGAGCATTGCCCAGATGGGCCAGGTTTGGGGATTTGATCCTTGTCAGGGCGGTCAGGGCATGTACAAGAAGCAACCAATGAATGCATAAATAAGTGGAACAATAAGGTGATGTCTCCCCTTTCTCTCTCTCTCTCAATAAATTTAAAAAAAAAAAGAGGAAGTGTCCCAGGCCAGTGTGGCCCTGATACCAACCCTCCCCTACCCCGCCCCTTCCCTCAGGATCCAGCACAGAGGAGACTCATATTCTGCTGCCCTGGTAGACCAAGCCCTATGGGCACGATCCTCACAACAGCGGTGTAAGGCAGGTATCACCCCCATTTCTTGGGTGGGGGAACTGAGGCCTGGGTTCTTTAGGTGATGGAGCTGGGACTCAACCCCAGGCTCTTCCACCCACATCCGGTGGTCATCCTCTCTACCCCGTGAGCATCCTGGCTCCATAGAGAATGAGGAAGCAGGACAAATTAGGCCAGGGCTCTAAGGCAAGCCGGTGTAAGAGAGGAACCAAGCTGCCACTCTTGTTTTTCTCCAGTCACTTCCAGAAAATCTCACGGTGCGGGGAGTGGCGTGGGGGCACTCTGGCGTCCTGGACAGCAGGTTTCTCATGTGGAAAAGATTTCAGTGGTTTTTTTCTTTTGAATAAGTTGAGATTTGGCTTTAGAAAATAATATTTTAATACATTAAATAATCACTTAAATACAATTAATCATTTCAGAATTAATATTCAATTTAGGGCAAATTTTTAAAAACCAGGTTTTTAAGTTTGGCTTATGAATTTTATTAGTTTATAAGTCTAGCTGACTTTTGCAATAACATTGGTGGAGGCTTTGACTAGTGTCTGGGCCTATTTACTAGCTCAGCTCAGCACTTCAAAACACTTTTAAATGCATTTATAAATTGAACATACTTATTTCTTTTTTAAGTGCTCCAGTTTTTCTGACAACATGCAAAATCTTCCCAAATCCTAAACTGTTATAGGAACTGATAAATTCAACTCACAAATAAGGCAAACTTCAAACATCCTTATACTCTGCTGAAACTTGGATGTCGCCGTGAACAAAACCACAAGTCTGAATTAGTTACTGAACTACACATCAGAAAGTGGAGCTCTCCAACTGTCGCTGGCACGGGTCTTATTGCCTGAAGTATCACATGTCTCTAAAACACCAACCGCGCACAGATTCCTCTCTCACTTAAAAAATACCAGTTCTGTAGTTTTGTTCCTCTTACATCTTTCTACACTGAAGCCTAATCTTCCTGGTGGTGTGGGCCACTGTCTCTCAGCTGCAGGCTTTTCCCATAGTTTGGGATACTGGGCTGGGAGGCTGCCCGCTACATTCCCGCTTTGTTAGCTGGTCCCTGTTAGCTCTGCCAATGGGGGGCGCTAGAGGGAGGCCGGTGGAGTGAGAAGGTGCCTCTGCCAGCATCTCCTGGCAGGGATGAGTGCCTCTAGTAACCACAGGTAGTTCTGTCTGCAGTGTTTCACAGTCCCAGAACCAGCTTCAACGTCTCCCCACGGCTGGCCCGGCCCCTCCTCAGAAGCCCGAGCTCCGGCTCTCAGGGCCACTCCTCCAACCCTGTGAACCTCAGTCACCTCCAGCTCTCCCTTTTGTTTCCCCACATCTAGGGGTGGCAGTTGCTCCCTGTAATTACCACATCCAGGATTCCTCTGTGTCCCCCCGCTTTGCCATTTGATTTGTCCAAAACCTGATTCCTAATACCAACAACTGTTGGTATTAAACACTCTCTGTTAAAATGATGGATGAGGCTGTTGACCCCTGAATGGACCCTGACTGATGAACAGGGGGTGAAAACTGCACGCTCCCTGAACAAGACAATCACCATCCCGGTTAACTGAGGTTGCTCATGACCAGAAATTTCCTTTGGATGTGAGACCCAGAGCAGCAGACATTCAGGGTGATTCTTCTCACCCTGCACCCATCTAGAGAAATTAGTATTTCAAGTGATTTTGGTAATTCATGAGATGACGGGGGAAGTGAACTCAGTTCCTGTCCCCAACAGCACCTGGGTGACATTTATGATGGCTGAGTCAATGACTTCATAACCTAAAAACGTGCTCTTGCAGGCAGTTGTCTCGCACAGGTGCCTGGTTCTTCGCTCTACCCTCAAAAGCACACCCTCCTCACCAAGTCACTCATGAACTTGGTTCTTAATTTCCTTGGTCCTTTGCCCTACATTTGATGACTTTTGGGAAGAATCCTAAGCAATGTAAGTATCTTGAATCTTAATAGGCTCCAGAATTCTTTCGTAGTCTCAGGACCAATAACTTTTAAGAAATGCCTAAACTTCTGTTTTGTATCAGTGGAATGTCTCAGGTAGTTTCATCTGGGATCCATCTTATGAGGTCATTCCATTTTTTGGGGGGAGACTGATCTAGGATCAAGTCAATTGCCTGTCAACAAAAACTTCTGCTGCCCATTCTAAGGTAGTTCGAAGACAGGCTCAATAAATGGAAATAACATAAGGCTTCTGGTTCTGGCCATAGGGGAATGGTTTGTCTCAGATTAATCTTCCTGCCAAAATACTTATAAAAGTTGGACAAAATATATAAGGTAATTGTTTGAAGGAATTGGAGAGCACCCAGTGCGGGCAGGATTTGAGAGGCTGTGGTC